CATCTGTGTCCAGTATAGGTCACATGTAGAAGTTTTGACTGAACACAAATTATTGGAACATTTGCTGAGATCATGCTGCAGATAACAACATATGCCTTTATTCATCACCTCAGTTACCCATAAAATAATGTAAGTCAAAACATAACATCTACAGTCATCTATCAAAATCATCCAAGGACCCATGTGGAGTTTGTAACCTATATATCATAACTTTATTTTATTTATGTCTTTAATGATTTTAGTATTTTATTTATGTGTATGAGTGTATTGTCTGCATGTATGTAAGGGCACCCGTGTCATGCAGTGCTCTCAGAGGTCAGAAAAGGCTGTCAGATCCCCTGGAACTGGAGTTATGGATGGTTATTACCTGCTATGTGGGTGCTGGGAATGAAACCCAGGGCCTCTGCAAGAGCAGCCAGTGCTGTTAACTGCTGAGCCACCTCTCCAGCCCCTATATCATAGCTTTAAAATGAGGTCAAATCAGCCAGGTGTGGTGGTGCATCCCTGTAGTCCCAGCACTTGGGAGGCAGAGGCAGGCGGAGTTCAAGGCCAGCCTGGTGTACATAGTGCGTTTCAGGGCTACAGGGAGACCCTGCTCCAAAAAAACCAAAAAAAAAAAAAAAAAAAAAAAAAAAAAAAAAAAAAAAAAAGTCAAATCAAAGAGTGGTATTATCTGACTTAAAGAGCACTCACTAGAAATGCCTTCTGCATGTGTCCTCAATTATGAAGCTGCCTTCTCAGGTGGGTTTTGTAACATTTCAACATTTATTGAACTTTAAGACTTATTTGGATATCTGGTAATCCTGTTGGTCATTTTGAAAGTTGGTAGTGTCAATGTAATATATTTATCGTTTTACGTGTATGAGTGTGTTGCCTGCATGTAAGTATGGTGTCTAAGGCAGCATCCCCAGGAAGCAGCAGATGAATGAAAACTGTGGCTTCCTTCTCTTCCACGATTTGCACACACAGATGGCACTTCCTTCAACACTGGAAGCAGTGTGGGCAGTGCCCACAGAGGCCAGAAAGGGGCATCAGATCCCCTGGAACTGGAGATAGGGATGATTGTTAGCTGCCATGTTGGAGTTGGGAACTGGACCCAGGTCCTCTGCAAGAGCAGCCAGTGCTCTCAGCTGCTGAGCATCTCTCCAGCCCTATGTTTGTTTGTTTCTTGAGGCTGGGTCTCCTCCTAACCCCAGCCTGGCCTCGATGGCACAGGGATCTGCCTGCCTGTGCTTCCTGAGTGCTGGGATTAAAGGTGCGTGCCACCACATCCAGCCCTGATTATTTCCACTTCTTGGTCATTTTACAGAGGCTAAACTTAAAAAATCTCATCATGAAAAAGGGGAGAACTGGGAATTTGAAGGCAGCACCTTAGAGCTTCCTTTGTACCCTGCTGTGGGAACTGGATTGAGTTTAAGACTTGAAGAGGCCTTTCACAAATGTGCTCATTATCCCCACATCTGTGTTCTTGCCCTGAATGGAACCCAGGGTTAAGGTTGTCCAGATTAAGGGAGGGTTTAAGAGAAGTACCTGGAGTAGAGCTGGTAGATGGCCGACTCCCCCAAAATCGGTAGCTGTTATTTTGTCACGTGATTTACGCCCCCACCCCCTCTGCCTTGCATATGGCAGATGCAGGAGATGCTGTTGTTGAAAGCAGGTCGGGAGAGGGTGTCAGGTCCTCTGGAACTGGAGCTACTATGAGGGTGCTGGGACTCGAACCTGGGTCCTCTGCATGAGCAGCCAGTGCTCTTAATAGCTGAGCTACATCTCCAACTCCATACAATATACATCCTGATCATATCCCCCCTTACTCCCCACTTCCTTTTTATTTATTTCAGTTTTATTTTATTTTTAAAAAATATGGAATGCTTCACCAATTTGCAGTGTTGTTCCAGTTTTGGTACATGTGCTGCCGAAGTGAGCACTATTTTTTATTTTTTTGTTTTTGAGACGGTCTCCCTGTAGCCCCAGCTTGCCTGGAGCTCACTATGTAGACCAGGCTGGCCTCTGTCTCAGAGATCCACCTGCCTCTGCCTCCGGAGTGCTGGGATTAAAGGCATGTGCCACCACACCCAGCTCTTTTATTTTTAACTCACTAAATCCAATTAGTGTTGCCCATATGTGCATGGGTATAGAGTCATCCAGTGGGCAGGAGAGGCCCATGGGGAACCTACCAGTGGCCACACTACCAAAGAAAAATGACCCTCCCCAAGCACACATCAACTGCCAATAACTCCAGCTAGGAGTGGGACATGGGGAGCCCCTCCCCCCATCAATGTTGAATTTATGACTGGCTTGGACTTGTGTAGGTCTTGTAGATAACCAGCTCCGCCATGTCCAGAGGACAGCATTTCACAGTTCTCCTCCCATCATCTGACACTTACATTGTCCCCTCTTTGATGGTCCCTGGGTCTGTGGCAGGGTGTGTGTGTGTGTGTGTGTGTGTGTGTGTGTGAGAGAGAGAGAGAGAGAGAGAGAGAGAGAGATACAGATTTCCTATGTATGTGCACTCAGTTGCTTATTCTCAACACTTTGAACAGTTCATATCTCTGCATTAAGCACTACCCACTGTGATAAGAAGTTTATATGTGATATGGGAGAACACTGGGAGAAGCTAAAGGGTTAAGCAGGGATGGAGATGGGGGTGGGGAGGAGTAGAACACAGAGTACTCTGGGAGCTAAAAATGTAAGCAGGGATGGAGACCCACTGGTGAGAGAGTAGTTTAACCAAAACCAAGGATGCATGAAGAAGCTTTATGAAACTCCACTAGTCTGCCAGCTAGTTAAAAATATTTTTCTTTTAAAAGGGAGTTTAAACAGAAGTGCTTGCATTAATGACCTATGCTACTGATAGAAGACACTGGCTATTAAATGAAAACTCTCAGTGCCAGACACAGTTACCTTCTGTTCTAGTTTCCCCACTGCTGTGACAAAACACTCTGACCAATACCAACTTGGAGAGGAAAGGGTTTATTTGGCTCACATCTCCTGTGTCTCACAGTTCATCAGGGAGCCCAAGGTAGGAACTCAGGGCAGGAACCTAGAGGCAGGAGCTGGAGCACAGGCCATGGGGGAATACTGCTTACTGACTTGGTCTCCTGACCCCTGCTCAGCCTGCTTTCTTATACAACCCAGGCCCACCTGCCCAGGGATGGCACCACCCACAGTGGGCTGGGCCCTCCCACATCACTCAGTAATCAAGGGCATGCCCCACAGACACGGCCACAGCCAGTTCAATGAGGCAATTCCCCACCTGAGGCTCCCTCAACCCAGGCGTGTCAAGTTGACACTAAAGCTATCCAGCACACCTCCCTGTGAGTTATTGGTCAGAGAGACCCCCAGAGGCACCCACAACGATACAGGCTGTTTCTTGCCTTTGCTCCTGCTTGTTTGCCGCTGTTGCCGAAGACACCACACATAGACTTTGGTTGCAGAACACAGAGAACATCTTTTTATTTTAACAAATAATTTTTTATATGTATATGTGTGCCACGTGTGTAGGAGCCCACGGAAGTCAGAAGCAGATCTTGGATTCCTTGGAACTGGAGTTTAGGATAGTTGTTAGCTGCCTTGTGGGTGCTGGGAATCAAACCTGGGACCTCTGTAAGAGCAGTAAGTGCTTTTAGCTGCTGAGCCATCTCTCTAGCCCTGAGAAATCAGTCTTGAGTTGACCAGGAAACTCACTCTTCTGGGTAGTTTCCACAGTGCTACAATATGCTTACAGGTTGCTGAGGGGGAAAAGATTTCAGCGGTCTTATCCAGCACCTGGACCCTGATGCTACAGTAAGGACCTGCCAGGCAAGATGTGCACATTGATTGTTTATGGGGGTCGCCAATGGCTCTCTTAATGGATTTGAGGTCTGTCCCACTGGAGAGAATTCATAACTGGTTTGTTTTTTGGTTTTTTTTTTTTTGGTCTTTTTGAGACAGTCTCCCTGTAGGTCCAGCTGCTATGTAGACAAAGCTGGCCTTGAACTCACAGAGATCTGCCTGCCTCTGCCTCCCCAGTGCTGGGATTAAAGGTGTGTGCCACCTAGTATTTTAAACACAGTCAAAACAGCTAGCTAAATGGGGGCGGGGGGGGGCGGGGGGGGAGAGAAGAAACCACCCCTTTGATCACGAAGAGAGGCCAGAGACGGGGAAAAGGGTCTGTTATCTAAGGAAGGGAGGCTGATATTGCCACTGGTGCTTCCTAAAAGACAGTTCTTTGCCCCTATGCCCTGGATCTTGATCTTGAAACTCACTAGAAGAGTCTGTGAGCTTTCAGGCTTCTTGACTAGCTTTTGTATTCTGATTTTTTGTTTGATTTTGGTTTTTGAGACGGGGGTCTCCCTGTAGTTCCAGCTGGCCAGGAACTCCCTATGTAGACCAGGCTGACCTGGATCTGGGATTGACTTGCCTCTGCCTCCCAGGTGCTGGGGTTAAAGGCATGTGCTACCATGCCGGACTGGCCTGTATTGTGGTTTTTAACAATTCAAATCACCTATGTATATAAGGTAGGTGAGAGTTTGTTATAAACATCATTTATTATTTTTCTCCCCTAAAACCTTTAAAATAGGGAAGACAATTTGCTCTTGCTCGTTGCCAGCATCTGGCAGCCCCCTGCTGTGTCCCTGGCCCTGAGATGGCTGTGAAGCTTTACAGGTCCCCACAGGTGGTAGAGGAAGAAAGCCCGGAAAGAGGCCACTCCAAATTTTAGTGTATGACAAGTCACTGGATTTTTAAATCAGCTCCAAGAAAGATCTGAAACAGATAGCTGCTCTTTATTTAAAAAGACCACGTGGCTGTTCCAATCTTCCAAACTCTTGTTTGTGGGACAAGAGTCCGTCAACCAGCCTCCTCCGGAGGGAGGCGGCTTTTTCCCCGGCTCCCGGTTTCCCCAGGCCCCACCTCCTCCGCTCCAGGCCTCTCTCCCGCCGACTGTGATTGGTGCGCTCCTGCGTTCCCAGCCTGGCCTTTTACGGACTGTTGTCAGGCTTTTAAAGGGATAAGGGAAAGGGTCCAGCGGCCGCTTTTATCAGCCAATCAAACTTTCCTGACATCCCCAACGGAGGGGGAAGCCTGGGATGCCTCCCTGTTCCTCTGCAGCCTCTCGCTTGGAGGGGAGGGCAGGGAGTAAAGCCCTGGAGAGGCGCCAGCCGGGACCTGGCACCTGCTGCCGGGACTCACTGTGGGGTTTGTCTAGCCACTTTCCCTAGCAGGGGTGTGTTGGGGGGAGCCCTCTTTGCGACTGTCGAAATGGTTATCAAAGTGTTTGTTGCTACATCTTCCGGGTCCATAGCGGTAGGTGTCTGGGGCTCTCTGGGCTTGGTTCCTATGTTGTTTTCTGAATAATTCAGAATTGGAAGGAAAGAATCCGCTGTGGCCAGGCTTTGGCCTGGGAGTCTCTTGGTGTTTGCTCACGGCACTGAGCATGAGTGCCCTTTGCTTTCTGCGTTTGTTTTCATGGTATTGGAAAAAGTATTTAAAATGTGTACCCTGGCCAGGTGAGTGTGAAGGAGTGTTTGGTGCTGGTTTTAAACATGTGATTTGTGTCTGTTGCTAGCGCAGTATATCACTGACCTTTTGGTTTTGGGTGTTTTTGTCATTCATTCTGCAAGACTTAGACTAACTTAAACTTGGAAATAGATGACATGTCACATAACCCTGTTTGGGGTGGGCTGACTCAGATCGTGGAAGACACTTCAGGGTGTCCATCCTGGTATATGTGATGTAGCAGAACGTAAGGACGGTGGGTGTGATTTTATTTATGGAAAATGATGTCACAATGACAACGGCAAATCCGTCCCAGGCCGTGGCTTTGAATGCTCGAGGAACTGATGCCACCCTGATTGAGAGGTAAAACCCACCTCCACACAGTGGCTTTGCCTACATTCCTTGAGACAGACACCCCCTTTCCAAGTCAGGCCTTTGTTCTGTGTTGTGTAGGTCTGCCTGCCAGAAAAAAAATAAGGACAGCTGTGGGACTCGGTTCTCCTGGGAAACAAGTCAAGTTTGACTTCAGGCTGGCCTTTTAGTGCCTGGATTACTGTTTTGGTCAGCACTTTAGCAGAAACTCCGGAGGTTATGGTCAGAAAAGTTTATTAATCCTAAGAGTTAGAACCCAGAGAGGGCCCGTTTCCTTTTATATCTGTTTCCTGAAGGGTCTCAGGTTGCAGCTGCAGTTCTGACGGGTCACTCAGCAGAGACAGTCCCCTAAGCAGGCCTTGACTGGCTACCAGCCCCAGCCATACATGACTGAGGGCCACCACTCTCAGCCCTGTATGTCCACAAGGGTTTCCAGAGAGGGTGAGCAGGAAAGCAGAGACAAGAGCTTGGTAGTGCCACTAACCCCCCCAACCATTGCTTCGGTGATCTCTGGACTGGATTATCAGAAGATGAGCACACATTCCAAATGTAAAATTTCAGACTTCGAATGTTCAAGTGTGAATCTCTCATGGCTGTTGGGGACTGCAGAGATTTTGATGCATGTATTGAGTGAGTGCACCTTTGTTCTTGTGCTGGGGCCCAACCCTGGGTCTCATGCTGGGAATGCATGCTGTGTTACCACGGTGCTGCATTCTATGAGTGCCGTTTTGGTTATTTAGATTAAAAATAATTTTTTGAGGATAATGGCTTTGGTGGACCTTTTCTTTTTGGTGGGCTTTACATCTGTTAACACTCTTGGTCAAACTTTTACCACTTATCTACCAACCTTCTGTAAATTTCCTCCTGCCTGGCTATTAGTCTTCTTCAGAAGATATGAATAAATCAGTGTTTCCTAGGTTTATTTACTGGCCCATATTCTTGAAGTCTGTGAGTCAGTTTTAGTTGACCTTAGAGGACCTGGAGCCTCTCCATTCACTCCAGGATCTTGGAAAAGCTGAGTTTGCTTCAGTGTGATTTGTAACTGTGTGACCTTGGGCCAGGCATTTCACCTTGATAAACCTCAATTTCCTTGTCTGTAAAATGAGGATAAGAATAGGCCTCGCCTCACAGGGCTGTCATGAGAGCTTCTGAAATAACACCTCCCAGGGCCCAGCACCGTGCCAGGTTCTTGGCCAGGTCCTGGAAAGTTTTGTGATTAATTACAGTCACTGGCAGCTGCTTGTTAATGTTAGTGTCACTCTGATTTTTATTAGCGCCTATTAATTGATATTAATGCATATTATAGTCATTATCATTATTGGTTATTGTGATTATTAGCCAACATTTTTAGTGGATCTAGAACTGTGATCATTACAGAACTCTCTAAACCCAGGTAAGTGGAAGAATGTCTGTCTTATCATGGTAACTCATTACCCCCACATTTCTGTACAGCTGAGTGTTTACAGATGGGGAATTTTACCCAATAGCTTCTTGACAGGAAAACTTGGATCCTTCTGTGTTCCTGCTGTGTGTGATGCGTGGTCCACAAAGCCTCACACCTAATCAAAGAGGGCTTTCTGAGTGCTGTTGGGTGAGTAAAATACATGGAAAAGGGAAAAATAGTGTTTAGTCTCAATAGGAATTGATTATTTGCCCCCGTGTCTTCACTGTGTTCCGACACTTAGCTCCAATGAGCTGAGCCACATTTGTACCACGTGGAGGCAGGTTTTGGCTTGAGGGAATCTGGGGAGTCGGGAAAGGTAGGGTGTCTTCTCATGTGACCCTCCTCTCTTCCAGAAGCCCATTGCACAGTGGGGTGTGGAGTCAGAGAGGAAAGAGGACGGTCCTGCTGTTCCCAAGCTGTGGTCTTTAAGGCAGATTCTCACAGGGACTCCTGGGTTTCTCAAGTCGCTTCTCCGACTAGACTGATAGTGTAAATATATTTTTGTGTGTATATATGTTTGTGAGTGTGATATGTGTGCATGTGTGTATATGCACATGCTTGCACACATGTACAGAGGCCAGAGGAGGCCATGGAGTACCCGGCTCTATCTCTATTACTACCTACCTTGTTCCTTGAGGTAGGGTCTCACTCAGCCTGGAACTTGGCTGGCAGGCAGTGAGCCCCAGTGATCTGCCCATCTGTGTTCCCCACAGTGTTGGGGTTGCAGATGTACATGTGGCCACAGCCATCAGGGTCTTATGATGTATAGTGAACACTCATACCCATGGAGCCATATCTCTAGCTCTGAAAAAAATGTTACTCTTAGATTGGATGAGTCTGGGTGTGAAAATTCAGCAATTCATTGGAAACTTGTTACAATAAGTAGTGAAAGGAACACTTGCTTGGTAAACTATACATGATGGCATATACCTGTAATCCCAGCATTCAGGAGCCTGAGGTGGGAAGATTGTGATTTTGCGGTCAGCCTGGGCTACATAGCTTGCTCCAGGCCTATGGGGTGCGGGGATCTCGGGGCGCCAGCTGCTGGGCGTGGCACCGGTCTCCCGCGGGCTGCTGGGGTGCACGCGTGTCCCGCACCGCGTTGCTGTGGGTCTCTGCTACCGGGGCTGGCGGCTCTGGAGAGCCGCTGTCAGCCGCACGGGCTGGTTCCGTCCCAATTTCCACCGAGCACTCCCTCGAGATACGAGATCCGCCGCTGCCAGATCTCGTGGGAAGTGCGGAGACGGTGAAAGCAGGGTCTCCGTGAGTCGTGGTTTACGAAGAGACAGCTCTCCCCGGGAAGACTGGATCGTAGGCAGTAAGACACAGAACTCAGCTCAGTACCGCTCCTTTATTCAGTGACTCAGCTTGGCTCCAGGTCTTAGTGATTCAGCTCCGATTAATTAGGGTACAACCAGGATATTTATACTGTGGGGGCAGTGGCAAAAGCCTTAGTGGATAGGTGCTTTCAGGATGCCCCATTTACACGTGGTGGTGGGCTTCTGCCAGGCTGCCAGACATTGTCTGAAAATCACACAGGAAAACCTGGCAGTTTCAGAGCCAGAGGACATGTATCTGTGGCAGCTACTTCAAAGATGAGTCAGGAAGAGAGTAGGGGGGTGCCCTGCTGAGAAGAAGAGTCCCTCCATTCACACCAAGCCGACATGTGGCTATCCGGACATGGAAAGACTACAACCCAAAACAGCAGGAGTCCCCAACACAGGCCAACCTGGACTACGTAGTGAGATCCTGTCTCAGACAAAACAAAATGTAAACAATGAAAACCCATAGCTTGGCTGCGAAGGCCTGGTTTGCTGGGTGCCCGTCAGTGCAGGTTCTCAAGGTACGGCACAGAATGCATTTTCCCGCCTCATCTTATTCAGTCCTCACTGGCTCCCTGGGAGGAGGGCATCCCTGTATCCAGTTTGCAGATGATGAATTGAAGCTCCAGGCCTTAGTTTAGAGAGTGTCCTTCTGAGCTGGGACATAGATGAAGGTCGTCTGTGACATCATCCAACAAGCTTCACACTGTAATATGCTGACCTCAGCTGGAAAGTCTCCTTACTGTACCAGACAATAAACAAGAGGTGTCAAGTGAGTGGCACTGTGAGGTGTGGCTCTCAGATTACACAGACACATTGGAGTGGCTGACCGCGGTCGGGTGACTTCAGGATGGAGGGCAAAGCGTACCTCTGAGTAAATGGCACAGGATAGGAAAACAGCTCTCCCAGCCTCCAGTGAGGTCCCAAAGGTTCCAAACAGTCACCCAGGCCTGGCATCTTTGAGTCCTGCTGAGCTTTCTCAGGACATGGCAGGAGGTGTGGCCTGTGGAAGCAACAGGGGCCCTTGGCCTCCTGAGGGTAGAGAAGGGATAGAGGGAAGAGGTGGAGAGGTCTTCTGGTGTGCTGTGCGCCGCTCTCCTGTCATAAAGGGAGGGGCCCTCAGGGCTGGAGGTCCGCTCAGAAGGCTACCTGGAGAAGCGTTGTACTTGGAGGATTGAGTGGGGCTACTTGAGCAGGGATCCTCCAAGGGGAGGACTATGGAGGGGAGGGGACCCTCCAGGGAGGAGAAGCATTGGGCCTGGAGAAGGGGGCAGTACCAGTCAGGAGAGCTTTTGTGCTCTCTGGTGTCCTCCTTCCTCCTTTGGGCTTGACTCTAGGACCCTTACTTCTCTGCAGGCTGCCAGTACTCTGTGCGCTGATGGGTCTGATGAGCCTGGTTTGAATAGTGCTTAGCGATTTCTTCTTTTGTGGGGTTTGTGTGCTGAGAGTGTCCGGGGTCAAACAGTCAGCTGACTTGCTTATTGGGGGATGACCGACGGTCCCGTTGCCTCTTATTTTCTTCATCCTTTCACTTCTCTAAAACAAATCCAGGACTTAGGAAAATGTTTTCACCTGACTGGAGATCATGCAACGAAACATAAGCCCTTTCTTACCCCACCCCAAGTCCTAAGGCATGATTGACAGGGTGGAGGTGGTACTGGTGCCGCCCAGGGCGACAGTAACTGAGGGGATTTAAGAACGGGCTTGGGGGACTGCAGAGATGGCCCAGTGGTTAAGAGCATGGCTGCTCTTGCAGAGGACCCAGTTCCCAGCACCCACATGGCATCTTACAGCTGTAACTCTAGTTCCAGGGGATCTAATGCCCTTTTCTGGCCTCCACAGGCACTGCATGCACAGATGCATGCACATACCTGCAGAAAAAAAGTACATATAAAATAAAAATGAATAAAACAATTTAAAGAACAGATTTGACAGAGCAAATGAAGGTTCTTCTGAATATTTCCTTAAAAGTAAACCTGCTTGAAATGAAGACATCTACTTTATATAACAGCAAAGTTATCTCTGAAAATATCTAAGGGAATAAAGAGTGTATTAGTTAGACAGCGTGAACAATCATGGTTGGGTAGGCTGTATATAAAAGGTGATTGGTTAAAGTCAAGATTTAGCCTGGCAAACAGTCACCAGTCTGCTGGGATTTTGTGATATTCAAAGTCTAACTGTGAAATGGTGGAGTGTGGAGGTATTCTGTTTGGAGGAGGAGGAAAAGGCCCCAGAAGAGGGAGGAAGGAAGCAAGCCACCCCTTCCTTTGTCCTAGGTGGGGAGCATCAGGGACCTTGTATTGGGAGGGTGATGAACATGGCATCATTAGACATCTGTGAGATGTTTTTCCCCCATGCATGCCCCAAACAAACGTGTGTAGGCCCAAGTCTTACTGTGTTTCACCATTGCCAAAGCAGCCTTTCATACATTTCTCCAACCCTTCTAGTCCCAGCATCTTTATTTATTTATTTTTGTCTTTTTGAGACAGGGTTTCCCTGTAGCCCTAGCTGTCCTGGCACTTGCTATGTAGACCAGGCTGGCCTTGAACTCACAGAGATGCACCTGCCTCTGCCTCCCGAGTGCTCTCTCTATCATCTATCTATCTATCTATCTATCTATCTATCTATCTATCTATCTATCATCATCATCTATCTATCATCATCTATCTATT